CTCAGGCAATCCTCTCACCTCAGCCTCCCAAGGCGCGGGATGACAGCCTGAGCCACCGAGCCCGGCTAAAGCCTGACTCTTAAGCTAGACTGCCTTGGCCCCTGACTTCCTAGATGCGTGATCTTGGGCAAGCTAATGGACCTCTCTGTGCCTCAGTTTCCCCATCTGAATTGGAGGCAATAATAGTATGTACCTTCTAAGATGTTTGTGAGGATTGAATACACAGATTGCTTAAAGCAGAGTCGAGAACAGAGTTGCGGTACTTGGTTCTTTGATGTGACGATGATTTTGAAGCTCTGCAAGATCTCAGACTGTTTTTGGGTGGAGCAAAATAAGATTAAAACTGTACTTAGGATTGTCTTGGTTTCTGTTCGTCAGAAGATTCCGTCTTCCGTCATTGCCTTCACTCACAGTTTTGGGTATCAAAAAGTTTACTGTAAAGGTAGGCACGATGGCATGTACCTGTAGTCTCAACCACTTAGGAGGCTGAGGCCGAGAATCCCTTGAGCCCAGGAATTCAAGTTCAACCTGTGCAACATGTGAACCCCCATCTCTGTAGGAAAAAAAAAAAAATTTAGTATACTAGTTTATTTTTTCAATGACCTTTCATTATAGAAGCAGTACATGTGCAGTGTGGAAATTTAGAAAATCCAAATGAAAAGAAACCACACACACACACACACACACCACCTTCCCATCAGCCGGAGATGACTGCTACATCTTTTGTGAAGTCTTGCACTTCCTTTTTGGATTTTTTTTTCTCTTGTATGTATTCTATTTGCATATTTTAGTCAAGTTAGGTCTTATGCATTCTATCTGGAACCTGCCTTTTGGTACCTAATGACCTCTAGCGTGCCTGTTTTAGTAAAAGTGTTACTATTAAAGTACTTTAAAAATAATCTTTTATAGTACTGCCACTATGTTGCTGGGCTGGTGGGAATTGGCCTGTCCCGTCTCTTCTCGGCCTCTGAGTTTGAAGACCCCTTAGTTGGTGAAGATGTAGAGTGTGCCAACTCTATGGGCCTGTTTCTGCAGAAAACAAACATCATCCGTGATTTTCTGGAAGACCAGCGAGAAGGAAGAGAGTTTTGGCCTCAAGAGGTATCAAATTCAGGGTACTCGGGGGGGAAAATAATTCTAACCATTCTCTAAAAACAATTTATCCAACTCTGTGGTTACAAGTGACAGATTTAGGTACAAATAAGGGATGGATAACAAATTTGACATTCAGTAGAATCTCCTCTTTTTTCTAGGCTTTGGCATTTTTTTTTTTTTTTTTTTGAGGAGTTTAGAGTTACAGTAAACATTATTTCTTAGGAAACTTAAGAATTACCCAGGAATAAAAGTAAGTTCTGTACTAGCTTCAGAGAATCCTCTAAATAATATCATCAAACCAAATCCCACTGTTGGAGCTGAGGGTGTTTTACTCAGGCTGCTGGGATCCAGAGGGATCATGTGCTTCATGTACAGGCGCAGCTCGTTTTCCCAGATGTGTGTGTTCAGCAGGCTTATCTGAGTCGGGAGTGTCGTGTTAATCATTACTTACTCTGAGGCCCCGCTGTTTGGTCAATGTTCAAGGTTTAGCTGGTGGGTACTGTGGGAACTGGCTATCTTTTTTCCTTTGGTGTAAGTACGTGCCCTGGAGGGTGCCACCCACATCTTTGTATTTAATTTAATTAATCAAGTAATTTACTCATTCATTCATTTATTCATCCATTCATTCGTTTGAATTGGAGTCTCCCTCCATTGCCCGGGCTGCAGTGCAGTGCACGCTCACGACGACCTGCTGGGCTCAGCTGATCCTTCTGCCTCAGCCTTCCAAGGAGCCAGAACTACAGGCGCACACTACCACCCGGCTAATTTTTTTCATTTATTGTGGAGACGAGGTCTTACCATGTTGTCCGGGCTGCTCTTGAACCCGTGGGCTCAGACAGTCCTCTTGCCTCAGCCTCCCAAAGTGCTGGGATTACAGGCGTGAGCCACCGCACCCAGTCTCTTTGCCCATTTTAAAACTCGGGTTATTTATTGTTATTGTTAATATTATCATTTTATTAGTAGTAGTAATAGTAGTATTTGTGGTTGAGTTGCATATGTTTCTTACGAATTTTAAATATTAACCCCTCGTCAGATATGTGGATTGCAAATGTCTTCTCTCATTCTGTAGGTGCCTTTTGCTGGGCGGAAGCTTTTTAGTTTCATACAATACAATTCCTTCTGTCTACTCTTGCCTTTGTTGTCTAAGCTCTTGGCACCATGGTTTTAAAGAGTCATTGCTCGGGCCAATGTCAAGAATAATTTTTTCTATGTTGTTTTCTAGTAATATTTTGGTTTTAGGTCATATATCCAAGTCTTTAATCCATTTTGAATTGATTTTTCTTTTCCTTTTTTTTTTTTTGAGTCAGAGTCTCACTCTGTTGCCCAGGCTGGAGTGCAGTGGCATACTCATGGCCACCACAGCCTCGACCTGCTGGGCTCAGGTGATCCTTCCGCCTCAGCCTTCAGCCTTCCAAGTAGCTGGAACTACAGGCGCCACCACACCCGGCTAATTTTTTGATTTACTGTAGAGATGAGGTCTCGCCAAGTTGCCCGGGCTGGTCTTGGATCCGTGGGCTCAGGCAATCCTCTCCTCTTGGCCTCCCAGAGTGCTGGGATTATAGGCTTGAGCCACCACACCTGGCCTGCTGGTTATCTTTTCAGGGATAGACTAACGCCTCCGACGAGAAGGCGGCCTCTTTAGTCTGAGGTCGTCAAAGTATTGCTTAGTCTGTGCTGCACTTATTGTCCCAAAGGGACACTTGTCAAATCCCTAACTCACTCCCGGGCCACGACTGGCCGCTTACTGGCAAAGTCATGGATAGCTGTCACCACGGAGCTTCGAGCAGCCTTGTTCTTGGTGAAAGCAAATCAGCAGGTTAGAGGGCCTGCACAGTGCCACATCAGTCTTGTCCACAACTGTCCTTTCGTAGCGTCTGCAAACTCCTTCATGCACGTGTCAGCTCGTTTCTTGACCTTCGTATCTCTGCAGGTTTGGAGCAAGTATGTGAAGAAGCTGGGGGATTTTGCCAAGCCAGAGAACATCGACTTGGCCGTGCAGTGCCTGAACGAACTGATAACCAACGCGCTCCACCACATCCCAGATGTCATCACCTACCTTTCAAGGCTCAGGAACCAGAGTGTGTTTAACTTCTGTGCCATTCCCCAGGTATGGAGCGGGGCCTCTCGGTATGCATGGGAGTGAGGGCTCAAGGGAACAGGTGGCGGTCGGGGCGGGTTTTGCTCTGCTGTGTTTCGGGCTGTGATTCCGTAGGATGGCGACTCCAGTTGGCTTTCTTGTGCGGGGGTATCCCGGCACCCCCTTGGCCTCTCAGTCACCACACGCAGCTCAGCCTTGAGGTGGAGTCCGCTCCTTTTCGGAACTTTCTTTCTGGACTTACTCTTTTTTCCACAGGTATCCTAACCTAGTTAGAGCCATGTCCTAGCTGAGGGCTTTGGCCTAGATTTATGGGAAGTGCTAGGTAAAACTTAGGTGAAACTGTTATCATTAAAAGTCTTCATGGCCGGACTCAGTGGCTCAGCCTGTCATCCCAGCACTTTGGGAGGCTGAGGTGAGTGTGTTGCTTGAGCCCGTGGGTTCGAGACCCACCTGGGCAACTTGCCGAGACCTCGTCTCTACAATAAATCAAAAACTAGCCGGGCGTGTTAGTACACGCCTGTAGTTCCGGCTACTTGGAAGGCTGAGGTGGAAGGATCACCAGAGCCCAGCATGTTGACACTGGGGTGGCCGTGAGCATGCCACTGCGCTCCAGCCTGGGTGACGGGGTGAGACTCTGACTCAAGGAAAAAGAAAAGTCTTCATTAAGTACGTAGTTACTGATGTCCTCCTAGACTCAGGATAGCAGAGCCTGACCCCATAGACCTAGCCCCTCAGTGTTGTGGGAGCTTAGACTTCTTAATTGCTGTTATCAGTTATTTCCGATACTAACTCAAATAAGTGGAGAAAGTCAGGATTTAACTGATCTGGAAACTTAGTTTGATCTTGTCCAAGCGATCAGCCATGAATGGTGGTTGGAACTACAGTCTGTATGCCTGTCTCAGGTTTCCATTTAACTTGGAAATAATTTACTTTTGCGCACAGGAAGTCACCCCCTTTTATTGTCCATTCCCCTCCACATTGGTTTTGAATACATAATCATCATGTTCTTTGTAGGAAAAATAGAAAAACAGCTAAGACAGAAAATTCTTTCTGGATGTTATTTTAGCATGTGTATTTCAGATCTAATGGCCCATTGCTATAGCATGGGAAATATTGGATTTCTTTGTGTTTTTTTCCAAATAAAATGGAACTTTTGTGGCTAAACTACAAGATTGCTTAGGATGGCCGATTGCTTGATTCTGTGTGTTGCTGAGAAAGGGAGGGGTGGGAAAGGGGAAAATCTTGACGTACGTTCCCCATGGGCGGTTCTGGTTTTCTGTTGCTTTGTTACGTCTGAACTCTTTGGCAGGGCTCTTTCAGCAGCTGCTGCCCTTCCTTTTCACCTCGTGATTGCTCCCCACGCCATTCCTCTCTCTTCCCCATCTCCTCATTATCTGTAGGTAATGGCCATCGCTACTTTGACCGCCTGTTACAATAATCAGCAGGTATTTAAAGGAGTAGTGAAGATTCGGAAAGGACAGGCAGTGACGCTGATGATGGATGCCACCAATATGCCAGCTGTCAAAGCTATAATCTACCAGTATATGGAAGAGGTGGGTTTTTCTGGAACTACCTGGGTAATTTAATTTTAATAACTTTTATGATCCAAATAATGTCACTGTCTCAACTTACCATGTTTGGACAGTAGATGGTCCTGACAACCAACTGTGCTCTGGCCCAGAGAGACAGGAATTGGTGTCCTTTATCAGGAAAATCAGTGCAGGCGCTGGAGCTGAGCTGATTGCTCAGAGCTACGTGGTACCGGACGAGAGGAGTTTGTGAAGCAAGGCTGTAGGCAAGTTGTGTTTTCTGAGCTGGAAGACGATGCTAGAAGCCAGCCACTCTTCCTGTGCAGGCAGGGAATGTGAAGTCGAGGCTTGTGTGCACAAATGCAGTGCGTGACTGAGTGGATCCCAGACTCCAATCCACATGCCCTAACACTGAGTCTGGTACTTTCCGTGATGCCACAGACCACAGTTGAGAAACCGCAGTAGAGAATGTAAGCAAAGGAAATGCCATCAGGTTGCAATTCTTGCTAAGTTTTCTTCTGCATGTTCAATTCAAACGCCAAAACCATCCTATAACACAAAGCATGCCTGCTAAGTCAGATCTCCAACTGTGGTGGGTATACTATTAGACTATGTTCAGACATGTAGGTCTCAGAGAATAGAATTCTTTCTAATCTCTCTCTAGGCCCTAGAGCAGTATTTCCAAAATGTAGGTGATCTGCTCCCCTTCCCCCAGAGGACCTGGGCAATGTTGGGGGACGTTTTGCTTGTTATAACTGGCAGGGCGGGTGCTGGCATCTGACGGGTAGAGGCTGCGGTCCTCAGGCGTGATCTTGTGGAGACTGAAATACTACAGAGTTCATGAAACAGAAGACCGTTGTCGTTCCTTAGCCTAAGCCCCCTCCCCAGAAGTAACTGCCGCCGTCCTTCCAGCCACCTTGTTACACGCTTACAGGATATGATTGGCAGCACTGCTTCCACCTAAGCAGGATTCGACAACCCAACTCTTTCTTCCGATTTCTCTTGCGTATTGCACGTTCTCCTCGTTTGTACTCCCTGCCTTGCAGCCCACAAGTGTTGCCCGCCACCATTTCTGCCAGAGCCACCAAGGTCTAAGAGAGCACCACATCTCTTCAAACATCTTAAGTTATTTTTGTGACGAGAGGAAAGTGTTCGGCCGTTGTCCAGAAGTGCGCTACAGTGGGCCTCTGCAGTCCGCCACGCAGCCAGCACTTATTCTGGGCTGACTGTGTCCCTGGCGAAGCAGCCACAGGGGTGGGTGCCAGTGATCTCAGGGAAACCGGAGGCCCAGCCTCATGGCTGGAGCCGTCACTTGGACCCCTGTCTGTCTGGCTCAGTGCCTGTGCTGTGAACCCTGAGGGACTTCTGTGTAGCACGTGTTTTGTGGTTTTTGCAGTTTTCTTCTGATTGCTAGTGTTAGAAAATCATTTTTTAAAAAGGCTGTGGCCAGTTCCATTACTATAATAAAATTCAGATTTTATTTGGCTTCTTCTTAACTGTTAGAATTAAACCCTAGCTGTGACTCACAGTTTGATTGAGGGCAAGGGTGGGCAGCCTACATTTGTCTGGGCCCATGTCTTCTTTGTTTTTCTTTTTTGAGTCAGGGTCTCCCTCTATTGCCCAGGCTGCAGTGCAGTGGCACATCCGCAGTGCACCACAGCCTCAATCTCCTGGGCTCAGGTGATTGTCCCACCTCAGCCTCCCAAGTAGCCAGTACTACAGGCACGCTCTACCACACCTGGCTACTTTGTGAGAGAGAGAGAGAGAGAGAGAGAGAGAGAGAGAGAGAGAGAGAGAGAGAGAGAGAGCGCGCGCGAGCGCGACCGAGCGCGCGAGCTGGGGTCTTCTTATGTTGCTCAGGCAGGTCTCAAACTCCTGGTTTCAAGCAGTCCTCCTACCTCAGCTTCCCAGAGTGCTGGGATTATAGGCGTGAGCCACTAGGCCTGGCCTGCCCTGTTTTTGTCAACACATAATACTGGAACACAGCTTTTGCAATATGACAGCCAAGTTGAGTCACTGCAACAGAGAGTGGCCCGTGAAGCTAAAATATTTTTTGCCCTTTTAATAACAGGTTTGCTGCCCTCTTGGTTTCGGGTCTCAGTTATTTTGTGTCAAGTTACTGTATTGAAACGCGTTCTTTTGGAGGAAATGTTAATACTTCAGTCGATTTGATTGAGATAAGTCTCTGAAGATGTCTGAATCTCAAGCAATAGAATCTAATCATGGCTTTAATGTCAGCATCAAGGACATTTTGCAAAAGAGTCTTAAGTGAAAACTTCTTCTGTGAAGCCACACTGGTCTGGCCTCTTGCGGGGTCCAGATGTAGACGTTGATGCTATTCCTCCTCACTCGTCAAGTCCGTCCTTTGCAGTAAGAAGTGAGGACACTTTGCTTATTCTGTCTGGTCCCCAGACTGACTGGCTCTTTCAAGAGTGCATCTGCAAGGGACTTAAAAGCTCACTTCCTCATGCACCTCCAGGGAAGAGCCTGGCGAGCGGCCCGAGTCCCCCCAGCAGGTGGCCACGGCTCTGTGGGACCCTGGTCCGTGGCTGCTGCAGTCGGAGCCTCAAGCCAGCCTGGATGCCTGTCAGCTGGAGAGAAGACCAGCCTGCTATTTTGGGACAGAAATAAGTGCTTAGACCCACAGCCATAAGCCTTCATTCCCCTCGCCAGCATGAAATCCTTGGCAGGGCGACCTTGTCTGTGTCCCTGTACGCGTCCTGCCCCTCCCTGTGGGCAAGCAAGAGTGCCGCTAGGCCCTGGGGCCGGTGTCCCGCTGCTGCCCACGTGTGGTCCCAGGCCAGCGCTGTGGTCACACCCGGGGGCGCATTAGCACCTCGGACCCTTCTCAAGCCTACTGAATGCGAATCCGGTTTTTAAATGGTCTTTTTGTCTTGGTGGGAGTTGAGATGCTCATGTGTGCGACTTTCAGGCCAGACTGGGTCTTACAGCCGTAGACATACATGAGACGTTTCAGTGATGCTCAAGCTGGTTCCTGTTCTACTGTGGTCAGTGGGACTGCCGAGACATGGGAGTGCCACCCAGAGTCAGAGGAGCTGCTGAGTGCAGCATTGCACGGAGCACGTTTCCACTCAGGAAGCATCATTTAATCCACAAGCATTTATTTGGTTTTGACTGTATGCCTGGTGTATAGATGAAAATCTGCCAGACTTGCCCTGGAGAAGCTTGCTCTTGACCGAGGCTGGTAAGGGCTGAAAAGCGGAGTAATTTTGACTTCCCGGGAATTGAGACCTGAGGAATTAAGTTTGCTAAAACCTCCTGTGTGTGCCTCAAGGCAGATGGGCAGGGAGGTGGTGAGGCACAGCACGGAGGCATCCAAAGCTCCCCTTGGCCTTCCTGGCTCCGCTGTCGGAAAGTCAGCTCTGAGGACCATGTCGGCAGCCTGGCGGTGGGGCTGCCCTACTTAGGTGCTAGATCTGCTCGTCAGAGAGACTCAGAAGTTTCGCCCCTGCTTGTACCACCAGGGACTGGCCACACCACGAATTTCTCTTCATCTGGTCACCTTACTGAGCTCATGGTAGGGCATATTAAAATGCTTTTGGAGTTTTCTGAAAGGCTTTTATTTTTGGGTGTTTATTGTGTTTATTCACTTGGGTGCCGGGGATTGATTCCGATCGATAAGCCTTTTTTTCCCCAAGGCGATATGAGGTGGCTTATGGCTAGCCAGAAAATGCATCGGGATAACAAAGCACAAGCAGGTGAGAAAGTAAAGTGGAAAAGTAAGGTCAGGAGACCCGGCACAGACCCAGGGCGAGGCTGATGCCTACGTTTATCGTTGGCGCTGATGCTGTCGCCCGCGACTTGTATGCTGCTTGTACAGTTGCTCTGAGAGAGTAAACCTGAGGCGTTTTCAGTTAGTGATGTGAAGTCTGGGCTGTGTTTCAAGTGTCCTGACTTAAGCAGAATGGGGTTGATGAGCCCTTATTTGATAAGCAGGCTGTCGCCTTGAGTTTTTTGCTGCTGCAGGTGGATTGCAGGAAGAGAAAGCCGTGCCTGGCGTGCATACGCTGCCTTGTTCCTTTCCTCGGCCGTCCTGTCATTTCTTCTCTGTGTGTCCTTCCCGTCTCCAGGCGTCCCTTCCTTGTCTGCCGTTGTGTTTTTCCTCTTATCTAGACCAGAGTTCTCACACTCTTAGGCTTTTGAGGATGGCCTGGTAGATTGTTGAAAAGTGCAGATTCTCAGCCCCTTCTCAGAGACTGATGGACACGGGCCAGGCAGCAGGGCCAGAAGTCTCACTGCTAGCCAGGAACCCGGCGACTCGGACGCACGTGGCCCCAAATCCAGAGTTAGAGGAGCATGGTTTAGCTTCTTTCCTGAAGGCTTGTTAAGCAAGCAAGTTTTTGATCGCTCTCTCGTCACTTGTCCTTGCTGATTCCTTCGGCTTTCTATCTAGAGGTAGTAGCTACTTAGTGCCTGAAAACATGGGCGATACCAAGGAGATCTCGGCAAGTCTAGAAACGGCTGTCAGCTCCTAGGTGGCCTTGTCGGCGTATTCCTTCACATCCCGGGGACATGAAAGTAAATTAGAAAGGGAGAGCGGCTGCGGTACAACCTTGATGACCATCAGGCGTGTTTGCTTCCTGGGAGGTATCTGTATTTTTGTACTCACTCCACCAAGTCGCCTCTTTCTTACGATTTCATGTCCCAGTTTCCGATTTGAAAGATAAAGTTTGGCTGGGCTCGGTGGCCCAGCCTGTAATCCCAGCACTTTGGGAGGCCGAGGTGAGTGGATTGCCTGAGCGTGCGGGTTCGAGACCAGCCTGGGCAACTTGGTGAGCCCTCGCCTCTACAATAAATCAAAAGTTAGCCGGGCATGGTAGCATGTGCCTGATTTTCCGGCTACTTGGAAGGCTGAGGCAGCAGGATCGCTGGAGCCCAGCAAGGTGAGGCTGTGGTGGCCGGGAGCATGCTACTGCACTCCAACCTGAGCGACAGAGTGAGACTCCAACTCTAAATTTTAAAAACTGGTCCCTTGGAGTTAGAAAATGTAAGGTCCAGTCTTGCTTCTGCTTCTGTATGCTTGTGATTTCCCTGAGCTAGTCAGTTTCCCTGGGCTTAGAAGAGTTCTTCATCTGAAGTGACATTATTGTTCAAGATTCATAAACTTGGGCTAGGGGTGGTGGCTCATGCCTATAAACCCAGCAGTTTGGGAAGCCAAGGTGGGAAAATTGTTCAAGACCAGCCTGGGCGCGTGGTGGCGCACACCTGTAATTCCAGCTACTCAAGAGGCTAAGGCAGAAGGATCGCCTGAGCCTCGGAGGCGGAGGCTGTGGTGAGCTGTGATCGTGCCACTGCACTCCAGCCTGGGCGACAGAGCAAAGCCCTGTCTCGCCTGTCGAGGGTTATTGTAGGAAGGAACCAAGGAGGATGTCTGTACGGGAGCTGGCCTCAGCGTGCAGCCCCACCATTTTCCCCTTTTCTTGAGCAGATCTACCACCGGATCCCCAGCTCAGACCCGTCTTCCAGCAAGACGCGGGAGATCATCTCCACCATCAGGACGCAGAACCTGCCCGCCTGCCAGCTCATCTCCCGAAGCCACTACTCGCCCGTCTACCTGTCCTTCGTCATGCTCCTGGCGGCCCTGAGCTGGCAGTACCTGAGCACGCTCTCCCAGGTGGCGGAAGACTACGTTCAGACCGGGGAGCACTGACGCGGCAAGTCCGGCGGCTCTTTGGGGACGGGTGGCGGCTTCCCTGGGCCGTTTTCCCGTGTTCCCTGAGGAGCTCCGTGTGGCTTGGACTTGGGAAACGGACGTGCAGCCGGGAATGCACACGTGAAGGGAAAAGACACCGCCCCCTCAGCCACCCAGCACTCGCGGCTGGGGGTCGTCTCTGCTGGTGGCTTTGGCTGAGCCTGTGCCCTGGCCTGGGGAAGTGGCTGCTGCGACACTGTCGGGCCGTCTTGCCTCGTGTGCATCCTGGCTGGGTGATCATTAAATGTGTTTGGTTCGAAGCGGCCTCGGACTGTTCATCACAGCAGAAGAGGCAGCGGGTTTTCTTTCTGTTCTGTTCCTGCTTTTTTCTTTGTTTTGTTTAATTGGACCGAACAGAGTAGACGGGGGTGTTTATAGCTCTAGGTGACACTTCTTTGCTTCCTGAGAATGCAGATGGCGTCCCAGTGGAAGCTGGGAGTAAATTCTGGGTGTTCTGGCATAATTTTCTCATTTAAAGGGAGTTCAGCTTTCAGAAACAGCAGAGTTCGCTTTGGCCCCATTCTAGAGGATTGGCCTCCCATAAAGGCAGCGTTTTTGAGATTTTTATAATAAAGAATTTACTCGCTGGGCATTTGTCAAGTGCGGTCCCTTGAAAGCCTGCATGGCCGTGGGAAAGGGGGGCTCCAGAATGGAGTTGGGGACTGAGGGGCAAGTGGCCACCTGCTGCCACCACGCAGCCAGTGAGGTCAGTGCTAGGACGGGACCTGGTGGACGGGCCGGTGGCTTCACCTTAGCTCAGCTGCACCTCAACCCTGCAGCCCACTTGCCTTCGGGCTGATTCCCTCAGCTGCACTCAGAAACTGTAAGGTGCTTTTCCCCCAGCTTTTTTCCGTTCTGGAATGGCGATGTACACGCTGAAGTCTGAAGACAGGCACAGGATATTTTCAAGCGATTGGCTTGGGAAGGAATGGTGCTGGGCCTCGTCCCACCACGGAGGTGTGGGCTTCCTCCGGACTGCATGCAGCACAGCTGGGGTCTGGGAAATACTCTCCAGAGAGGCCTTCGGGGAGCTCAGCGTGGGCAAGGGCTGACACGGCCCCTCGGGCCGAGAATCTGCGTCCTAGGGCTGTGCACACTTCCCAGCGCGTTGTCTGTTCTGCTGCCCGCTGCGTTCGGTGCCCTCGTCGCTGAACTTGAGGTTTTTTCCAGCTGTAATGGTTGGGTTGCCACTGTCACAAATGCCGGTTTTCTGCTGACCCGAAACTGGCTTAGCTTGGGCCCCGGGAAGACCTCAGCGGATTGGTTCATCGGAGGCTCAGCTCTGCACACTCATCCCAGGCCACGTGGAGGCAGCTGGTTCTAACCCGGGCTCGACAGTAATTCCCAAGGAACCTAAGCATCAGAACTTGGGTTGGGAGTCCAAGTGTAGCCTGTTACAAAGCCGTGTGCTGAAACTAAGTGTGAATTGGGCAGGCTCACTTCAGACACAGGCAGCCTGGCGGAAAGGGCCTTGGTCTGAGGTGGACCTCCCGGAAGTGCCCTCCTGACGCAGGCATCACCTGTGGGACTTCCTGAGCCGTGTGGCCGTGGGGGTCAGGTGATCTCTTAGGTCTTTTCTAGCATAGCTAAAAGCCGTGTCATTTTTTCTACCATCGCTGACTTATACAAAGATATTAGCCCCGATTCCATTCTAAAGATCTTTGGAAGATTGTCTTCCAAGTATCTTTTCTTTTTTAACAGTCTTGATCTGTCACCAGGCTGGAGTACTGTGGTGCAATCTTAGCTCATTGCAGCCTCAGACTCTGAGAGGCTCAAGTGATCCTCCCACCTCAGCCTCCTGGGTAGCTGGGACTACAGGTGTGTGCCATGACGCCCAGCTAATTTCTTAATCTTTTTTGTAGAGACGGGGGTCTTGCTATGGTGCCCGGGCTGGTCTCAAACTCCTGGCCTCAACTGACACACCTGCCTCAACTGCCCAAAGTGCTGGGATTGCAGGCATGAGCCACTGCACCTGGGCCCTTCTGAGCACCTTCTCTCCTAAGGTTGCCAAATAAAATACAGGATGCCAGCTAAACGTGAATTTCACATCAACGATTTCGTTTTTTAGTGGAATTATACCCCAGACATCTCTTAAGACATAGTTATGCCGAAAAATTACTTGAGTCCCTGAAATTCAAGTTGAATGGGGCATCTCGTGCTGGCAAAGTCCGACAGCCCTACCCTCCATGCCCTACTTTCGATGTACTTTCTTAGCATCCCTGACAGTCTATTTGGTTCCCACTCACAGTGGAATATCTTGAATTTCCCCAGAGGAGCATTTGAATTTAGACCCATCTGACGCTAGAACTTTAAGAGCCGTTCACAACCGGGAGCACGAGTGAGGCCTCCACATACGGGGGTTTCCGGAGAGCCAGCGAACACATGTGCTCAACCTTGGCCCTGTGGGCACATGCCTGAGCCATGGCCTGCAGGCCCCTCCCACCTACTGGGCCATTTCCCCGGGGCTTGAGGTGTGTAGTGGGGAGGAGGGGGAGCCGGGCGTCTACTTAACAAGCATTCTAGGTTATTCTTAGCAGTTTTGGAAACAACTCTTAAGGCTGTGGTTCTCAAGCACTGTCAGATCTGCTGGCCACTGGGACCAGAGACTCCAAATGCAGTAGGTCTGGCGTGGTGCCGGGAGTTTGTCCCCAGCTGGCTGGGATCTGCTGGCCAGGGGAGCTGTGTGAGGACCGCTGCTCACAGGGCCTGCTCTTCAGGGTCAATGTTCCTGGGAGTCCCTGGGGTCCTGCCGAGTGCTGTCGGTAGTCTGGCCCCTCACCCCCCACTTCTATCAGGCTGCCAGGCCTGTGGACGTCCCGAGGATGGCCTGCGGAGGCCTGTGAAGGCCACAAAGGCTGAACTGCCTGGCTCTGCTCGAACTTCTCTCTCTGAACTATCTCGAAGAATGTCTCTCTGGGTGAAGGTTGGGAAGGCACTGAGTGCCACCTCCACCTGTCGTGTTACTGGGGGAGACCCAGGAGAAAAACCCTGAATTGAACTGAGGTGACCAAGTGATGACAAGGTGACCAGTTGAGGTGGGGGGATACAAGAGGGACAGTGTGGAAGTGGAATCACCCAACCCCACTTGGGATTGGCCTGGCCACACCAGCTTGCCGTGGTTATGAATGTCTAATTGAAGCTGTAAGAACCAATGACTACCAGTCTGTGGCTTTGGGGGCCCCTGTAACCTGAGGACCATGATGGGCACCCCAAACTTTTCCTACGTTCCCCAGGGTTCCAGAGTTTCTCCAGTGTTGCATCCAATTCCTGACCGAGTCACACCAGAAGCAAAACTTCCACTGGCTTTGGGAAGCCCCAGCCCTACCCACCCCTCAGCCGGGAAGGGACGGTCATGTCCACAGGCCAGTGGGATGAGGGCTGGCCTTCTGGTTTCCTGTCTCCTCGAGAACGGGCTTTGTCATGATTCTACACCAGCGCTACGCAGAGGCCGAGCTCTTGGCTAGCCACGTGGGCCGGGAGAACAGGGAACCCTCAACACGGCACATAGGCTCCACCCCCAGCCCTACCCGGGGGGTGTCCTCCAGCAGGGCAGCGTCCTGGCGACACAAGATCCCCGAGGCCACGTGCCATGCCTCATGAGCACGATGCCCAGGTGGCTGCTGGCTTGTGCCTGAGAAACGGAGCGCGTCTGTGCCCTTAGCTCCGTGAGCAAGCTCGCTCTTCAACGCCTGGGTGGATGGACAGGAGGGCTGACAGGATGGCAGGGACCCTGCAGAGAGATGAGGCTGCCAGGGTCTGAAGACACGCCCTGGCGGTGAGAAGTGGAAACGGGCCCCGAGGGCAGGCGGTTCCAGGACAGCCTGACTGGGGACGAGGACAGACAGCGGCTACAAGTCCACACACGGCGACAGAGGACCTCTGGGCCCCTTGAGAACACACTTCAGGCCGAAGGAGAAATCTTTTATTGGCACATTCCGTGTGAGCCTGGCAGGGTGAAGCAGTGGTTTTTTAAAAACAGTACAAGCCGGTTCCTCCCAACCTAGTTTCCCTGTGGGAGGAGGCGGGTGGGACAGAAGCAAGTCGTGACCGCTGTTTTGTTCCGGGCCAGCCATGCCACGAGGAGGCGATCAGTAAAGCTAGTGCAGCTCTTCCAACTATTAGACTCGTTCCTCCACGTGATCAGCCGAGGTGCACAGAGAATAAAAAGAATCATGCCAAGGATAAGACCAGAGAGGATTTGCGACATCACAGAGCTGGACAGATGCAGGGGCCCTGGGAGCAGGCGGCCTTCTCCAAAGGCCGCCTCGCCATCTCGGCTCTGAACCTGTAACGCGGTCGTCGAAAGCTGCTTGCTTAGAGGTGCTGACGGCGGGCCTTTGCCGTCTTGGGAATGCCACCGTCCGTTCCGGGTCTCTGTCTTGCTCCCTGGAGATGCGCGGGCAGGGGCTGGGGGGGCTGCAGCCCGCCGGGCAGCAGGCACTACCTACACACAACGCTAGTCTACGGGGGCGGGCCACTGTGCCATCAGCAGTGGCTTATGTGGTCTAACTGCATCGTGGCCTTCAGGCCACTGAACAGGCTGGGAGGTAGCTGGGACTTGGGTGCGTCTCCTCGGAAGACAGCTCTGACGGCAGAGGCGAGGTGTGGCCCAATCCAGTCCTTCAGGCCCTGTCTAAAACCTCTCGTATCTCACGTGAACTCAGAAAATAAAAGACATTTCTACCCCATCTCATCCCCATCCCTGACTGTGTTCGGGGAAAAAATGCGCCCCCAGGACTGGCCAGACAGGCCACGGCAGATCAGATCTTCTTCCAGTACTGCTCCGTGCGTGGAATTCCAGCCACCACTTCCGATTCGATTCCACAGTGATCCTGTCCTCTGAGGATCTTAAAGAAGCCTGGAAAAGAGAAGTAAGGTGTTGTCAGGTGTGCTGTGCGTCTGGTCCCTTGTTAAGCTATTCAAACTCATCCCTACAGACCCAGGAGTAAGTCACTCGGGTAGCTTCTGCTGTTTGCCCGGTCCCCAAGGCCTCAAGGGCTGCAGGACACCACCTCCGCCAACCTCATGCCACCCCTCACAAAGTGGCACCTGGTGCTGTGGGAGCCAGGGCAGGCATGAGCTACTGGAAGCTGTGTCCTGGCCGGGCACGGTGGCTCAAGCCTGTAATCCCAGCACTTTGGGAGGCCGAGATAAGAGGACTGCCTGAGCCTACAGGTTTGAGGACAGCCTGGGCAACTGGGCGAGACCTCATCTCTACAATAAACCAAAGAATTAGCCAGGCGTGGTAGCGCGCACCTGTAGTTCCAGCTTCTTGGAAGGCTGAGGCGGAAGGATCGCCGGAGCCCAGAGGGCCAACCCTGGGGTGGCCGTGAGCATGCCACGGCACTCCAGCCTGGGCGGTGGAGTGAGACTCCGACTCAGAAAGGAAAAAACGAAGCTGTGTCTTCCATACCACCTTCTCCGG